TGGAAAGAGAGCCACAAAATAAACTTACACACATATGGTCAATGAATCTCTGATAAAGGGGGAAAAAATATACAATGGGGAAAAGACTGTCCCTTCAACAAGTGGTGCTGGGAAAACTGGACAGCTACATGTAAAAGAATGAAGTTAGAACATTTCCTCACACCATATATAAAAATAAACTCAAAATGGATTAAAGACCTAAATGTAAGATCTGAAACCATAAAACTCCTAGAAGAGAACATAGGCACAACATTCTCTGACATAAATAACAGCAATAATTTTTTTGGATCTGTCTCCTAAGGCAAAGGAAATAAAAGCAAAAATAAACAAATGAGACCTAATTAAACTTAAAAGCTTTTGCACAGCAAAGAAAACCACTGACAAAACAAAAGATGATCTACCAAATGGGAGAAAACGTTTGCAAATGGTACAACCCTCAAGGGGTCAATATCTAACCTAGATAAATAGCTCATACAACTCAACAACAAAAAAACAACACAAAACAAAAAAACAAAAAAAAACCCCAAACAACTCAATTTCAAAAAATAAGCACAGAACTTGAATAGACCTTTTACAAAGAAGACAGCCAGATGGCCAACAGGCACATGAAAAGATGCTCAATATCACTAATCATCAGAAAATCAAAACTACAATTAGGTATCATCTCACACCAGTCAGAATGGCCATCATTTAAAAGTCTACGAACAATAAATGCTAGAGAGGGTGTGGAGAAAAGTGAACCCTCCTACACTGTTGGTGGTAATGTAGTTTGGTGCAGCCACTATGGAAAACTGTATGGTGGTTTCCCAAAAACTAAAAATAGGGTTACCATATGATCCAGCAATCCAAGTCCTGGGTATATAACCAGAAAAGATGAAAACCCTTATTCAAAAATATACATGTACCCCAGTGTTCAAAGCAGCACTATTTACAATAGCCAAGACATAGAAGCAACCAAAATGTCCATCGACAGATGGCTGGATAAAGAAGCTGTGGTATCTTTATACAATGGAACACTACTCAGCCATGAAAAAGAATAAAACAATGCCATTTGCAGCAAAAAGGATGGACCTAGAGATTATCATACTAAGTGAAACAAGTCAGAGAAAGACAAATACTCTATGTCATTTATATGTGGAATCAAAAAAATGATACAAATGAACGTATATAGCAAAACAGAAACAGACTCACAGATACAGAGAACAAACTAGTGGTTATGAGAGAGGAGGGGGGAGGGGCAGGTTAGAAGAATGGGATTAAGAGATACAAACTATGTATAAAATAGATAAGCAACAGGGATATATTGAATAGCACAGGGCATTACAGCCATTATACTGTAATAACTTTTAATGGAGTATAATCTGTAAAAACACCAAATCACTGTGTTGTACTCCTGAATCTAATATAATAGTGTAAATCAACTATACTTAATAGTATAATTGCAGCATGCATCATATTTTACATATTTCACCAATATGTACCATATTTATAATTTTTTTTTTTTAGTTTTTAGGAGTTTTGTTTTGGCAAAGCAGAATCATCCACTACATTAAATTAAATTGGTGTTCTAAATTGGGGTCTTATTGTGCTTGCTTGGATGTGATATGCACATTTGTTTTCATTTGATAGTTGCCTAGCAACTAGGAGCACATGGGATTTACAGCTAGATTGACATATGACCATGTTAAAATAACATGATGTTTAAACGCCATTTTGCAAGAACGGATTTTCCTTTAAATAAGATTCCTGCCTAGTGCATGCTGGGAAACACTGCTTCCCTCGACATCAGGGCCACGCTGTCCTCCAGAAGGTGTGGGCTGCTGGGTGCTTCCATGTTAAACCACTAAGTATAAGTGAAGCCCGATGTCAGAGGAAGCCGTACTTGCAGGAATTCTGAGGAACATTTCATCTTGCCATTTTGCTCCTGGATAGGTGGGAGGGGCCTATCTATCTATTCTATTCTAGAATAGAGGTGTCTATTCTGAGAAACCTCTGCTTCCTTGCAATCTGGCAGGATAGGGTCACAATGGACCTCACTCTGGGCTTTCAGGGTCTGCAGTCAGGGGTCCAAGCTCAGTCAAGCACAGGGAGGAGCAGGCAGCAGCCAAAGGCGCTATTCTCCTTCTGAGATTCAAGATCCGTCAGATGCATTATTTACATTCTCATTCAGGATAAAAATTTAAAGCAAACTATTTACATGTGCAGTGACATTGTGGAGTCTTTTAGGCTGTGCTTTGGGAATGAAACAGTGAGTCACAGGGAACCCTGGACATCACAGAGACAACACTGGGATACATGGTAGTAAATGGCTCAGCTGAGGTGTCAAAAGTTGCTTTAAAAAGTACGAAGTGTGGATTTTGACTGCCAGTTAAGACAGGCTTCAAAAAGGAGACAGTTTCAATAAGGGCCATGAGGGGTGGGTAGGGCTTCACAGACGGAACAGGGCCCCAGGCAGGGTGGCCAGAGGCCCTGGAGGGTGAAACAATAGTTCACAGAAGGCAGACGGGAGTCCAGCATGGCCGGAACTCAGGCTACGGTGGCGAGAGGCGCGAAGGGAGGTTGGGGCGGGTTAAGGCTGAATCCCAGGTTCTATCCCTGGGGTAAGCTTCCATCAGGAATTTCTGAGGAAACCATGAATTTTACAGCAACATTGTAAGAGAGCTCATGAGGAGGTTTTAAAAACATCAATCTAGAAAGCCAGCCTGATGTGTAACTTCTGCTACAGAAAATGGAATATGTCAAGAGCCTTTCCTTCAGGGAACTTATCAGCCTTCTCAGCCCCGTAACCTGCCGTCAGCCCCGCTAAGCACCCCTCGGCCAATCAACAGTCACTTGTGAACAGCAGCAGCGCCAACTCACAGGAGACGCACGTCTTCGATCTCCTCTCCTTCTGAGCTGAGGAGTCTGCAGGCGTCCTCGAGCATCGCTGGTGGGTACTGATTGAATCCTCCTGTTGAATGAGAAAAGTTATATATTTTTTTAATGTTTACTTCTTTTTTTAACTTTAAAATTTTAATTTATTTTTTAAATTTATTTAAAATTTTTTTGTAGGGGGAAGTAATTAGGTATATATATATATATATATATACATATATATATATGTATATATATATATTTTTTTTTTTTTTTAATGGAGGCACGGGATTGAACCCAGGAACTTGTGCATGCTAAGAATGCACTCTACCCCTGAGCTATACCCACTCTCCCTTAAAAAAAAACACTTTATTTAAGAAAAAACTTTGTTTTGTCGGGGGGAGATAATTAGGTTTATTTGTTTGTTTGCTTATTTATTTTATCGGAGGTGCTGGGGATTGAATCTAGGACCTCATGCATGCTAAGCACGCACTCTATCACTGAGCTCTGCCTTCCCCTCGCCTAAAATTTTAAACTAGAAATTTTATTTGTTAGGGAAAGAGAATTCCAACAGGAACCTTCCTGCTACAACACATGTTCCTAAAATATTTCAGGACAATCTGGCCTGGATGAAAATAGAAAATAGTAGCAATTGGAAAGCGCATTCAGAACCTGATGCTAGACTGTTTTGCAGCCAAAGAACTGCCAAGGTCATGGAAACGGATCTCCTCAGCTTGTTTGCGTGAGTGTGACTTGTGATGCAGACACACTTGATTTCCATATGCACAGCCTAACATAATTGAACAGAAATTTCATTCTATCATGCTTTTTCACGCAGTCTTATGCTAATAGCGCACATGTCAGAAAGGTAATATTTTATGACATGATGTTATTTCTGTGCTTCTGCACCAAACAACACTGATTTCCTAGGAGGGAAATAATCAGAGGGTACTGACCTAAATAATGTGTCCCTTTACCCCTTCCTGTTGCTCCATAACCTGCAGAATATTGAGAAATATACGTATACATCCCCCTCACTCAGGAAAATAAATAGTTTTTAGTGAAAGGAGACCTTTGGCCATTGCATGATCAAAGACTCCATGAAAATATCTCAGAGAATACTTATGGCTTTACAATAATCACATTTCTCTGGTTCTAAGAGGAGCATTGTTTTTCTAATCGTCTGAAATAAGACTATGTCTTCGCATCAGATGCAGTTGGCAGGTGCTGTCCGGGAGGCGGGAGCAGTGACACTGCTGTCATCACCTGCGCAGGTGGGAACGCCCAACAGTCAGCACCAACACACATGACTCAGGTGCAAATCAAAAGCAAGCTGGCCCTAGGAGGGCTGGGTATAGCTCAGCGGTAGAGCGCGTGCTTAGCATGCATGAGGTCCTGGGTTCAATCCCCAGCACCTCCATTTAAAAAGAGAGAGAGAAGAAACGTAAGCTAGCTCTCAATAGTTGCAAAGCTTACTTCAGAGCCCAGCAAGGCCAGCGTTGGGTTACTTTATAGGGTCTTTCTAACTTGCCACACCATCATCAGTCTTGACAGCGTAAAGAACAACACTGCGCTGAAAAAAGTGGCATCGATGCCTCTGAGTCAAGAAGTAGCTCACAAGAGTCAAATTTTGAACAAGAAGAAGTCTTAGGAATGCCTTAAGCAGTCTGTTTCAAGTATGCATGTGCAAGAGTGACATGGTCGTCTGTAAAAGAACTCTTTCCGTTCCCATAAAATAAAAAGCTCTAAGAGGAAAGTTGATATCAACATTTACCCAGAAGCCCTTCTTTCTTCCTTTTTACATCATATAATGGCGCAGTATACAATGGAAGGCATTTAGGGTTAAGGAAATAACATGACATCCCCAAGGCAGTGACGACTGGATTCTTCAACCGCACACGAGTCAGAGGAAAAACGAAAATGGTTCTCCTCCTCCAATGAAGACGCTGTCATGCTGGTGATGTTGGAGTTTCCCTGAATACGGGGGCAACGTGGGGCTTCTAGGGGGCTGGGACTGGTTCCAGTGGAACCTAAGTCCAAGCCCGCCAGAGTCCCAGAAGGAACGGGCTCAGCCCTGACTCCGCGGGAACCCCGCAGAGCAGGCTTTCTCAGCTCAGCGCTGTTGACATTTGGGGCTGGACCGTTCTTTCCACTGGAGGGGACGGGGGTGTCCTGTTTAACAGCGTCCCTGGTTTCTAGATACCAGTACTCTCCTCTCCCTCAGTTGTGACAACCAAAAATGCCTCCAGACATCCCCAAAAGGCATCTTGGGGGGGGCCATCCCCCACTGAGAATCACTGCTCTAGGAAGAGGGTCTCAAGCCATTTGTGGTGAAGGACAAGGTGTCACACTGATCCGTTTGCTTTACATCTTGTTCAACGAGACCGAATCCGCTGTTCACACACTTGTAAGATGTGGCCATGTCAGATTGCTTTAAACGTTTCTGGACGCTTATTCTCAATTTCTGTACTTCTCTCTGCACTGACCATTTCGTGCACTAGAGCCCATCCCAGGGGTGACAGGTTCTGGTGCGCTGGTCTAGAACCTTACCACTCAAAGTGTGCTCTGTGGACCAGAAGCAACAACATCGCCGGGGAGCCTCTTAGCAATGCTGCATCTCAGCCTCCACCCCCCACACACCGGGTCAGACCCTGCGATTGAACAGGGTTCTTGTGTGATGTGTTTACTCAGACTCTTTGGGAATGGCACAGGATGGTGTCACTACCCTCACCCCAGTCTCCAGGGTCCGCCAAGTTTGGAAATAAACCAGGTGTAGGATGGGGAACTTGTATTTAAATGCTCCTCCTGGAGACCATTTACAAGCTTCTTTATGCTGAGTGAGTGTGGCTCGGGAGACCTCCAGTCACCTGTGCTTTCTGGTGCCGAGACTTTAGCGAAGAAACTGTCTATCATGAAAAAGGTCCCATTGCATTATAACCAAGTCGTAAACAGGGCAAAACCAGAACGTGTCCTATTCCTGTCCCTATCTCAACATCTCATCCATATATTTGGGTTAGCTCTAGATATAAAGATAGGTTGGGTTGTCAATATTATCAACAAACACTAAATTATTAAAACAAAGCAGAAAAACCAAATAGTGACTTACGTCGAACTGAGTACATAAATGGCTTTAAAAACTTCACGATGTAATCCAGATTCGGTTTATGAACTCTCCCGAGTTGTATCAGATGGTGATCCAGTGGGTGGCTGGCTAGCTCCTCCATGTCCGCCCTATGGGTTGACCCCAGGGAAACCACAAATATGACATATCCCTGACACTTGGCCCGCAGAGCTGTCTTCTTTAAGAATTCCTTTCTCTCACGATTTTCTCCAGTAGAGATCACAAAGATGATCCTGTGTTTTCTCAGGTTGGGCGTTCTTGCGAAGAGATTCTCCATGGTCCACAGCAGGGCCTGGCCAATGGTAGCTTCTCCATGTACCTGCTGGAGGTTAGTCTGAATGTGTCTCTTCATTAGAATTTGACTGTCATACGTTGTAAACTCAAACTCGGTTTTTACCACATCCTTCTTTCTCCTATCCCAAGGAGAACAGGTCAACAAAGCAACTCTATCACCAGAGTCTGAGATGACAGGGTCTGAGGCAATGAAGAAGTTGTCAAGCATCGAGCTCACCAAGGTTTTCACACCCTTAAACTCATCTCTTGCCATATTCTGAGAATTGTCTAAGAGGAAGGCTACATCCATGTATGAGTCTTCGGGCAAGAAAATCTCTCTGCTGCAAGCACTCGGAAAACATTTATCTGAAAACACATAGAGACTCATCACTGATTCAAGGTCAACACAAGACACTGTTGAGATCTTCAAGGAATAAGTGACTGATGATAGAGAATTAATAACCTGATCAGTACCTCTTCCGCCTCACATCACTTAAATTAATAAGGAATTTTCAACACCCCCACAATTTCTGTGGCCACTGACAGACAATCTGGGAATGTCTTTGTTGAAAGCAGACGTAGGTAGCATATGTACTTGAAGTCTACAAGTCATATCCGAACTCATTTCAAAAATATTTGTAATATTTTAGAGGCTTTTGGTACAAACAACCCAATTGTCCCCAAGAAAACCCACATCAATTGGCAACATCATCCAAACCAACTTTCACATTCTATGGAAACTTCAGACATTGCAGAGATTGGAACCCTGACCTGTGGTATTGGAGGACTGGAAAACTTAAAATAGAATCTACAATCCAAAATGGACGTTTCTGATAAAGCCAGATTTAATGGCTCACCCAGAAGGCATTTGTTTCGGCACAATAAATCCTCCTCATTAGCCTTACCATAGCAAAGGGTACAGCGCCGCAGTCTCTCTAATGGTTCGTATTCCCCATCTGGAGGCACAGGGAGCACCTGGAAGGTCCCGGTGTCATCAAACTGCATTGAAAAAGAAGTATGTGCTTATTTGACTGCTTTCTTTAATCATTATCAGGAGTCCATCATGCCCCACTTTGAGAGTTTGGAAAGCACGCAACTGACCACCATCACCTTGCATCACAGCCCCTCGCTCCACTCGGTGCATCTTCACCAGCACACACACACTATGTCCCTGTGAGCCTAAACACAAGCCCGGAGAAGTATACACATCAGGTATTAGCGTTCCAATTTTATGATGAGAAAACTCCTGCAAGATAACCACAAGATTCACCCACAGGGTGAAGCAAGTATTAAAATCTCATTCTGAGTAAGCCAGAAAAAGAAAGAAAAATACCGTATGATATCACTCATACGTGGAATCTAAAAAAAGAAAAAAGAAGACACTGATGACCTCATCTACAAAACAGAAACAGACTCATAGACATAAAAAACAATCTTATGGTTACCGGGGAGAAAGGGGGTGGGAAGGGATAAATTGGGAGTTTGAGATTTGGAAATGCTAACTACTGTATATAAAATAGATAAACTGCAAGGTCCTACTGCACAGCAGAGGGAACTATATTCAATATCTTGTAGTAATCTATAATGGAAAAGAATATGAAAATGAATATATGTATTTATACGTATGACTGAAACATTAAGCTGCACACCAGAAATTGACACAACACTGTAAACTGACTGCATTTTGATAAAAAAAATAAGTTAATGGTATAGCTGGGGGAAAAAATTATCATTCTTATTTCCAAGCCTGCAATTCTGCACTGAGTTTTTTCACACTCCTGCAAATGCATCGGCTTCCGAAGCTGGGTCCTGCTGAAATGTTCCATTCCAAGTTTCCTTTGGCCTCTTTAAGCAGTGATTCCAGTGGTTTCCACCCTAATCACACTACCCACGAGAAGGCATCATCTGTCAGGTGTCAAGTGGACATTCCCAATCACAAATTCCAACGGACAGTCTACTCCCAAAGGCAGAGGCAGGAGACAGAAGACACCGAGTCTATTCAAAACTCTTGCTAGCACACTGCCCGGTTTTGTCTGTTTCTTGATGACATTTTTGCTTTGATCCTCACTGAAATGGGCAACACACGGCATCCATTCAGTGACTCAATAACTATTTATTGGGCATTTAGTCTGTAGGAGACACTATGCAAAACAGACACTTTGATTACAGTGAAAGAAATCTATCACTCCCACATGCTGAGAGCATCTCTCAGTCCACAGAGAGGTTCATACTTCACTACTCCTTCTTCAGGAAAGTAGAGGTTAGAAAAGCCATACCCTCTGTCTTTCTGTAAAGTGTTTAGTGAGCATTTGGAAACATTTGTCACCATTCCAGCCTTAGAGTTAGGAAGTACCTACTACATTCCTGCTCTCTACCTTTTATTTTTAAGGAAAAAAGCCATTTATTTTTAAATATGGTACTATACCTGCATAAACAAAATATTTAGTATAATCTTCACCAACTTTTTTTTTTTTACTGAAGTACAGTCAGTTACAATGTGTCCATCTCTGGTGTACAGCACACTATCCTAGCCATGCATATGCATACATATATTCATTTTCATATTCTTTTCCATTAAAGGTTATTACCAGATATTGAACATAGTTCCCTGTGCTACACAGAAGAAATTTTTTAAATCTGTTTTTATGCATATCTTCACTCACCTTCATTCCCTTTTATAAAATTTACATATAGCAAGACACCACGTAATATTATTTTCTATCATATTCCCTTGAACTAAGTGAACTTGACCATAATGCACCTATACTAGCTAATAACACTTAACATATTCTGGGGAATTATCTTTAACGTAAATAAACTTTCTGCATATACTGAGATCTTTATAAAATGCTGGCTAAACAGTATAATTTTTCATTTCTTTTTTTCATATTCCATAACACTCAAATTTGATACCACTCACAGAATTAACCACTGTTTTAGTTTTTCTGCTGTGTATGAAACTGAATGTTTTGGGTGCCATTTGGTATTCGACCTGGTTGGTCCCCCAAGTAAAGATTCAGTGCTGTCTTGGTAAATCAAGGAAGTTCATTCACAGGAGTAAACCACACACTTCGTTTGTTCATTCATTCATTCATTCAACAAATATTTACTGAATGCCTACAATGGTAAATAGGTACTGGGGATACAGGACTGAACAAAGCAGATAAAATCTCTATCTTACATTTGAGTCAGGGGACATACATCATAACATAATACATAAATAATCTACCCAGTATGATGGGAGGTGCTTATTTTTATAGAAAATACAGCATCTTCCTTCTGTCCTTTCTGCCAGGATCAATCGTGACTCTCCCTGTGGCTCTTAGTTTCAAAAATTTGTGGATGTGTTACTAGCAGCTTGGGTCTCTCCATGCTGTAGAGAGCTTATTTTTTTTTTCAATAGAAACATGTGTATTTGTACAAAAAGCAACCTTCATAACCTCTTGGAGGACCTAATGGCTTTACCCAGCTCTAGGAGCAAGTATTTCATGGAGAATAGGAATATATTTCAAAATAGTAGGAACAGGAGATGGGAGAAGATTTTCAGTTGTGTAGGGAGAAAGGTGGGGGCATAGATCCCATGAGAGTCTGTGAATCAAGAGGGACAGAGCCTCTTGGAGAAAAGGTTCATACACATCAAGGTTTCACACAACATCAGGGATTCGAAGACCCCCTAAATGCCACTCACCACATGAAGACCAGCGGTTGCACGGTATCCCTTGAGTGGACCACAGGTCTGAGAGCCGCCAGACCTGCAGAGGGCTGGGAGGGCGTGGGTTCACCGCCCTTTCTATCACACAGACCTGAGTTCGAATCTCAACTTTGCCACCAAGTATTGGTACCAAACTGGAGGAGTCACTCAAACTCTCCTGGCCTCGGTTTCCTGATTTTTAAATGGAGGTACCAAGTGCATTCACTTCTGAGGGCTGGGAGGCTATCTTGAGTGTGGATGTAAAGCTCTAGGGCCCGATCCTGGCGCACGGCAGGGAGGGAGCTGCTGGCATTGACTGACCACGTGTTTGTGTAGATACTGGATTTCATGGACACTGGCAACAAAACAGCTGTGAAAACTGCAAAGGGGGATACGAGGCCCCATCGCTCCCCCCACTCTCCCAGTATTCCCATCCTGCCAGCACCAATGTCTTCTTTTCAAATGGAAGTGCTGGGGATTGAACCCAGGACCTCGTGCATGCTAAGTACTCACTCTACCACTGAGCTACACCCTCCCCCTAGTGCCAGTATCTTCAAATTAAAGTCAGTGCCAAGGAGAGTACTTACCTCAAAAGCCTCATCAAGGAAATTCCTCTCATTATAAGCAACGACTGCCGGGCTGATCTCCAGGGCACTGAACTCCATGGTGGCCGTGATGATGGACGACCTACTGGCGGCTTGTCCGTTGCTAAAAAACACAGCAACCCTCTGCACACTGGCTCCCGCGGACGTCCGCTTGAAGGCATTCCGGGCCACAGACCTCATCGCGTTCCCGATGTCTCGGACTTCTCTAGACTTTGAGTATTTTATCTGGGAAAGAAGTTGAAGGAGGTGCTTCTTGTTACGGTAGTCAGACGGACGGATCAGATAGCTGGTGGCTGAGTCGTAGGAAAGCACAGCCACCCTTGCTCCCACGGGGCAGTTACTTTCCCGGATGTGGAGGTCACTGACGATGGAAGTGATGGTGTTCCTCGTTTCATTGAATCTCGGCTCTGTGGTGTCAGAGGACTGGTCCAGGGCAAATACCAGCTCCATTGGGTACACGGGACACTTTTCTACAGAAATGAGAAGCAGCAGTCTTAGGCTGTTTTAATGCATCAAAAGCCTTTCCCATCCATCTTTTACTCCAGTGAGGTGAGTTTATGCTGAGGTCTGGGAAAAGGCAAGTAATACCAAAAGCCCTAAGACCAGAGGTACCCACATGCAAAGGAAGAAAAGGACTGTGCTTCATTAGCTGGAAGGTGTTACCTAAACACAGAGCAGTGTATTTGGCTCTAAAATGCTCAGACTTCACACCACCACCCCCCATTATCAGTCTGCTATTTAAAAGGACATCGGAGGGAGCATGTGGGCTGATGGAACTGTCCTGCACCTTGACTGTGGTGACTGTGGTGGTGGTTACAGGAATCTATACATGTGGGAAAAACCCACGAAAGAGTGGACTTTACCGTATGTACATTTTTAAAAGGAGACGATGATTGATCAGAAAATCGGAAAGTTTATTCTCTTCAAAGATTTTCAGAGGTGATCTACTACGAATGAGAGTCAGTTGAAAGAGATTCATCCACTCACACAGCAAATATTAAGTACCCACCCCGTGAGACGCAGGGGGACAGGTGCTGTGAGATATGTGCAAAGATAAACCGAAGGCAGGTCTGCCCTCAAGGGTCTTGTCCAGGGAGAATCATTATTTTGAAAGGCAGAGAGTGATTATTATTCTTAATGGGGATCAGAGGACAAAGAGGCTGTTTCCAGAGAGAGGGGATCCCAGAGGCTTCGTGAAAGCTAGCTTGGGGATGAAAGCAAGGGTGACAGGAGGAAGGGAGAGGCATGGACCATGGCAGGTTTGCAACAAGCCGTTATAAAGGCAGGACTGTCTGTAATTCCCAACGCAATCCTGCTAGTCTCACGATGACTGCGCTTGGGGAATTTCACTCTGTATCGAACCTAACTTTTCAAAGACCTTGTTAAAGTCTGAACACAGGAAAAAGAAATGATCTGGAAAGTAAGCAACCCTCCCCACCGCCATCTATGTAGGCTGTTCTCGCCCCAAGCCGGCTAACTCCCAGGGAGCATTAAACTCAACACTTCCCCTTATCCTCATTGTTCTCAGTAATAGATGGAAGAGGAGGCAGTGATTTCAAGATGTGTTTTAAATCAAGACATTTGACTGCAAAGGAATTTTTAAAATGTGAACAAACTCTTGTAAAGTGAGAACAATGAAATAGTCCCGATTTCTTAGCCCTATACTAAAAATTATTAATGAAGTGATAAATAAGCATCTTTGTAACTGACCTATTGTCAGAGATTCTCCCAGAAGGCAGCATCAATTTTTATTTATTTTTAACCTCTCCCTTTCCTAGTGCCCCAGCAGGGTACTTGATAAATTTAATTCAGATCCATGAAGTTTTACTGAGTGCTTAGATGTGTGATAGATTTGGGGGGGGGGCAGGGTGGAGGTGTTAAAGTGAATGGTGCCAAATTTTGGGATGAGCTCGAAGACCATGTGGGTCTCCATCAGCAGGTCTCCAAGAGACCGGAAGCTCTTGGACTTGGCCTGATCGGCTCCATCCAAGGGTCTAAGGCTGCACGGAACACTGACTGTGGTCCAGGTTCTGGGAAGAGCATTCTCCGTCCTCCAGGTCAGACTGACAAGTGTCGGGCACATGGAGATGCAGACATGAAGGGAGGTCAGAGGGAGGAAAGGAAACATCGCTCGTCCAAGAAGCCAGTGTCCCTGGGGTGAGCAGTGGACGGACAGCAGAAGTGGTCAGGCAGGAAGTCCTGACACCCAGCTGCCCAGCAAAGCAGCGAAGACCATGAGCTGTGAACGGTGGCAGGACCCAGAGAGAACAGTAGGGTGATGCGGCCGGTGGCGGGCAATCAGCATTTCATAGTCAGGTCAAAATGTGAATTAACCGTACATACAGTCATAACCCACAGATAGACAGGGGTGTCTGCAGAGAAGGGAGAAGCCCCTGTTCCCATAGGGCGTGAGGGCTGCTTCTCAGTCGGTTTTATCAGAACGCAAGAAGCAGGTATCATTCAGCAAGAACCGAAATACAGTAAGATTACTCACCTTTCCAACAAGCTATTAAAAAAAAAAGAGAGAGAAAGACCCTGTTACATTTTTGGAACCCAGACTAAAAGTACTCCAAACTTCCCCCCGCCACAATTTCAACAAAGCTGAATATTCTGTTTGACTCTACAGCAAAGGAGGCTAGTTCCTCATTATGGGGAGCCAAGGTTAAGGATGGAGGAAGACACAGGATTTTATTCATTCGTGAGCCTTTCTGACCTCTCCTCCCTGAGACGCCTGGCCAGCAGACGCTAGCAGAACTCTGGTTGAAATCTGAATCACGGATCACTTGTCCTAGGAGCAGACGAGATGAGCCTCTTATTCAACAGCAAGACAGCTAAAATGCAGTGTGCTCTGTCTCCCTCCTTCCAGCCTTCGGAGAGCCTTTCAGCAAGGCAGGGCTCAGACACAGGGTCTTATTTTCTTCCCCAGTGAACACCTTGGGAACCTCTATTTTTTTTTCTGCAGAACCCTAAGGATGTCCAAATGCACTTTGTCTCTGCTAAAAAAAGAGACAGCCCCTGTGTGTGAGTGAGCGCCGTGTCCAGACAGGAGGGGATCCCCCAGGGCTTTCTCCCGAGCCAACCGGCATCTGGTTTCTCCCAGTGATTTACTCGGAGAGCTGGAGACAATTCAGGGAGGGGGAAAGTGGTAAATCTTTAGGAAAGCACAGGCCTGATGATTTCCATGTTCCTTTTACTCCATTCCTAGGAAGCCAATGAATCACTCTGATACACTCAGAAGATTTTCCTGGCACTGGCAACAAACTGGCCCCCGTCCAGCTGTTCCATGGCTCAACTCCCCCTCACATCATGTTTCTGTTGTCTTCACCCAGCAGCAGCTGACACGCTAGCTTCCTGCTGAGAGAGCTCCCAGAACCCACATCCTTATCTCAGTACGGCTAGAGCTCCTGTGGGACTGGAGAACTCACATGTTAGAGCAGGAATACGACCTCACAGGACTTCGGAGATGTCACCTCTCCAGTGAGGTGGCTGAATGAGCACTGAGACCTGTTGCCCCCACGCTAACATCAGAGCTGCACTCTGGAGCTCCACGCTCTCATCTGCACCCTGTTTGGTGACAGAGCCCAGCAGCTCTCCCCCGGACCCCCTCATTTCCTGGCTAACCCCTTTCCTGCTGTGATGGAAAACCTCAAATTCCAGGTCCTTCAAGGCGGGTACCACCTCCCCAGCTCTCCCACCTCCTTGGATCATTTGATGTAGATCACACACTCCCTTCCACCAGGAGCTCTCCTTCTGTCCCTGCCTGTGGCCCCAGGCTGGTTTTCACCTCCTCCCTCTGCGGGAGGGTCTCTCACATGGGTCTGCCTCCCTGGGAGCATCTCTCCACAGGCTTCTTCCTGCTTCTTTCCCACACTTGGTAGGATTTCCTCATCTCTACTTTCCTGCCCCTCTGCCACTTTTTTTTGTAATTGAAGTACAGTCAGTTACAATGTATCAATTTCTGGTGTACAGCATCATGCTTCAGGCATCCATATACATACAGATATTTGTTTCCAGATTCTTTTTCATTATAGGTTACTACAAGATATCAAATATAGTTCCCTGTGCTACACAGAAGAAACTTGCTGTTTATCTGTTTTACATATAGTAGTTAGTATCTGCTGATCCCAAACTCCTAGTTTATCCAAACCTATCCTCCTTTCCCCTTTGGTAACCATAAGTTTGTTTACTATGTCTGTGAGTCTGTTTCTGTTTTGTAGATGAGTTCATTAGTGCCTTCTTTTTTCTTTTGCTTTTTTTTAGATTCCACAAATGAGTGATATCATATGGTATTTTTCTTTCTCTTTCTGGCTTACTTCACTTAGAATGACATTCTCCATGGACATCCATGTTGCTGCAAATGGCATTATTTTATTCTTTTTTAAGGCTGAGTAGTATTCCATTATATAAATACACCACATCTTCTTTATCCAGTCATCTGTTGATGGACATTCAGGTTGTTTCCGTGTCTTGGCTATTGTATACAGTGCTGCTGTGAACATTGGGGTGCATGTACCTTTTTGAATTTGAGTTTCCTCTGGCGACCTCAGCCTCCTCTGAGTCTCTTCCCCTGATCCTCCCCTTTATGGGAGCCCCATTTCATCGGCTGCCTGGAGATCATGTGCCTCTTGGGCCCGCACAGCATTCCTTGGCCTCTGCAACGTTTCAACTCATCGTCTCTTCCTGCCCACGGATTCCCTTTCACAGCTCCTCTGCCTCCCCACCCACGGCAATACCAAACTTCTCCCCCTCTGGCCCTGCAGAGGTTCTAAACTTGCTATTGTACTGTTCTTTCCTGGCCCCACATCTGCAATGACTACATTTCTATCCAGTCTACTTCAGTGAGTCTCTGTGATTTTCCCACTTTACATGCATCTGATGGTGACTGCATAAGTGTTATCATCACCCGCAATGGAGACAAGAAGGATCACCTAAAATTCTACCACCTAAACACAACAGATTTTTACTTTTGTTCAATTTCTTTTCTACATTTCTTTCTGTGTGTGTGTGTGTGTGTGTGTGTGTATAGGTAAATATATATATATTTATATATATAGGTATACACACACACACACACACCCCTTATATGTAAAAGTAAGGATTTAATATACTTTTTAATGACTATTTTTCAGGGCAGGGGGGTG